CTTTACAGCTCAGCCTATGTTAAGGGTGCAGCATGGGCACAAACCTATCTCTGTGTGTCTCCAGAGACAGAGAGGGTGCAGGGACAAGAGAAAGATTTATGTTGATGCCATTTTGAGAAATCTTACACAGAGGTTTTGGAGCTCTGCTCTGATAAGAGCAGCAATTGTGTGCAGAAGTGCCCTCCTGATTGACTTCTTTGGACAAATGGTGGCCTTCCAGCCATATCCTGGTCAAGCCTAGCTCCCCTCACCTCAGAGACCCTACTGTCCCAGGTGACACAGAGAAGGGTGACAGTGTGTTTTGGCTCATAGGACCATTCCTCACTGAGGTGTATGAATTGAACTAAAATGGAACAGGCATCTGGTGTGAAGCTCTGAGTGTCATGCCATGAATTAAAGAAACAGTAGAATGCTGATTACTAGTCAAACCAGTGTGTCTCACTTCTCACCTCACACACCAATGCACTGAAACTCCCCTCACCACCAGCTCAGCTCACAACAAGCAAAACCAGTGCCTCATCTCTGCCACTGTTCTAAAATACCCCCTGGTTTGCAGCTCTGAGGTTTGCAGTCCTCCAGGTCAGAAGGTTCAAGCTTTTCAGTGTGCACTGCAAGAGCATATCACAGAGCTGCAGCCCCTGCCCAGGTGCAGAGAGAGGAGACCTGAGCCAGGAGCTTCCAGCGGCAGGAACATCCCAGAGCAGCTGAATTATTAAGCAGTGAAGCTTCTTGCTCTGTTTCTGTATTCCCAACACATGCTGTAGCAAGAGCAAAGGCAGGGAGCTGGTGTGAACAGTCAGAAAGTTTTCACAGGGAAAGTTTTATACCAGCAAAATAACAATTTTCAGTGGGAAAGAATAGCAATAGTTTTTATTCCATCTGTCCTGCTGCTTATGTGTTTTTGGAAAGAAATGCTTAGTAGTAAATGACCAGACAGATAATTCTTTGCTTCCCACTAATCATGCAAACCATAGAATGGGAGAAATAAAATGAATGGACGAGGATAGCTCCCTCGAGGTAGAGTAAATCCAGTTTGAAGTACAATGGAACAGACGTTCTGCAGGATACGTTCTTGGCAGCTAAATCTATTTGTTGTTTTGACAAATAAATGATGGCTTAAGAACCATTGAAATGGCCAGATAAAAGTGTGTTGTCACTTCAGCAGTTGGAACGAGGTGCCAGTCCTGCTTTAGAGGTTTGACTTAGATTGAGTATATTTCTAAAAAAATACATAAAAAGCTTTTTACCCTGTCACTAAGCAAGTCATAATAGCTTTTGACTTATGTATATTGTGCTTTCTTTTCTCTCAATCCCAACCAACAAAAAAGAGAAAGCATTGAAATGGAAATTTTGACTTCTAGCCTAAGCTTCAGTAAAGGAAAATGGCTTTATAGTGAAGTATTAACAGATTAGACAGACAGAATCTTTTTCTCTCTCTTTCTCTCTCTCTTTTGGAGAAGGGAAACATTTCCTGCCTGTTTGTGTGGCTTTATCAGCAGTCCAAGATTTTAATTCCATTTCCCTCACTGATGACAAGATTGAGGTTTTGGTTTCGTTTGGTTTTTTCCTCCAAAATGAATTTCCTATGAAATCTTCCCTTTCAAATTGATTTGCTCAGTATGGTGTTTGGTCAGCTAAGCCCAGAGGCTCCTCCTTTCTGGTGCCCATGTCAGAGTGCTCATTCTTAGGGAAAATAGCCCAGAATAGTTCTTCATCATGTAACTCCTGAGGTCTGGCACCTGGCTGTAAGAAGCTTAAATTGCAGAGGTGGCATGTTCTAGAAAATCTCTCTGGATTTAATAGCAGCTAGAGGTCTGCCAGGATTCCCTGAGAACCAAAGCATTTATTTAGTTGCCTAAATATGAATTGAGGACCTCATTTTTAGGCACATAAACATCCAAACCCTTTCTCAGGTGCTGGAGTCTTAGAGATTGGGCTGTTGTCTTGGTGGGACCAAGGCAGAGACCTGTACTGGAGGTTGGAACTGGCCCATCAGAGCTTGACATGTCCTTTCTTTTGTTTTTGTAGACATACCAAAAGCAATGTAATGAACAATACTAGTATATTTTGGGCTAGGTGTCCTCCCTGGTAAAGAAGTATCAAATCTTCTGAAGATACCTGCACATGAGCAGAGAATTTCTATCTTGCAGTTTCTGCCTGATACAAACCTATTTTTAAGGGATTATTTTGGAAAACATTGCAGGGGACTTACTAATGTGGTAAATAGATTTTTGCTAGTTCCTTTGAACAAAATGCTCCCTCTTTTTTGTTGTTGTTCTAACTCCTTAAGACAGAATAGTTCAGAATTAGCTCACTGCCACACTGGGCTACTGTCTGTAGCTTGCTTGTGTTCATGCTTGCATCTCCACAGATGCCCATATTTATGAAGTCATATATCACAGGCAGGCAATAGTCATGGAGAAAGGCAATAGGGAGAAGATTTGTTTGTGATGATAAAAGAACAAATGGAACGAGGTGAGATCATCAAACAGCAGCTTTAAAACAAAGCATATTCCTCAGTTTTGAATGTGTTAGTCTTGAGGACTCCAACCTGACACACATGGACCCATGAGCATGTGCCTAATTTTAGGTGTGGGAGTGCTGAAGGGAATGGTACTGTCAGACAGACAGATGCAGAAACAAGGCCTAGGGTTTGAATTTCAGATCTGCTGTGCAGTGAAGTGAAGTCATAGGAAAAATGAGTATGCTCAAAATTCTGCCCAAGATCACGCCAAGATGACAGAGCAGAAACCTGCTTTTGATCTGCTTTTCTTCTCTGCTCACAGTTTCATGTATTACTGTCAATATCAGCAGCTGGTGAAGGAAGCTTTAAGTTGGACACATATTCAATTCCTTCTCTTTTTGTTGTTTTTTTTTTTTCTGTAGGTATTTTCTTATCAGCTCACCCATATCCTGGAGGACAGAGTCAAGAACAAGTAATGTAAGAGGATTCATTCAGCTGATGTCTGAATTGTTTAGCTTCAAAAGGAGCAAACCTGCTTCTTGGAAACCATAAACCAGCCTAAATTACTGAATATCTTTCTCTGAATGATGAAACAGTTCTCTCCTGTCTTTGTTCCCTCTATGCATGAATAGTGTTCTGCTTGTCATCAGAGCTGCTGGTTCTCATGAGGGTTGCTTTGCAGGATCCCATATAGATCTGGGGGTCACAGTTACACCATCACACATTTGTGTGCTTTGGCACAATAATAATGATGACATCATTTTCCTTTTGGCCTTTCCACTCCATGCTATGCTACAGTGTTATGACTCAGTGCTGGGAGTCCCTTTTGCTAGGTCTCATTAACATCATCAAAGGAATGAAAGGAAGGAAGGAGGGAATTCTTCCCTGTGAGGGTGGTGAGCACTGGCACAGGGTGCCCAGAGAAGCTGTGGTTGCCCCATCCCTGGCAGTGTTCCAGGCCAGGTTGGATGAGGCTAGGGATGACCTGGTCTAATGGAAGGTGTCCCTGCCCCTATCAGAGGGGTGGAACAAGATGGTCTTTAGGGTCCATTCCAACCCAAACCATTCTATGATTCTAAAATATGCTGGCCCAGAATCAGGACCACACTGCTTCTGAGCTCTGAGCAATTCTCTGCAGTGAGGGAAATGTGCCACTCTAACCCACCATATCCATCTTTCTCCACCTTCTTCCCAGGCTCAACAGCTTACTCGACATCATTGTTTCAATGTCTGTTTTGGTTGGCTACTCTATCACAACAGCAAGCTTTGTGCTCTACATGGTCAAAGAACATCAAACCAAAGCCAAACAACTGCAGCATATTTCAGGCATTGGGATGACAGCCTATTGGGTGACTAACTTCGTTTATGATCTGGTAAATAATTCACATTCCTAACTGCACCAAGAGTAGCATTACACAGTAAGGGGAAAAATAAGTTCTTTATTTAAAGTTGGTTGCCTAGACTCCTTCTTATTACGACTACCAAGAGTCTTATGTAGTAATTGTTCTCCAAGGCATTGAAGGCTATTAACCATGAGCCGCAACACTGGATTCTTCTAAGCGAAGGCATTCCTTCTCCCTGGAGTGTATGCAAAACACTCAGCACATTTATATGAGTGCAACACAGAACAGGCCACAGCTTGATTCTCATTTTAACATGCAAGCAGCCAGTTGCTCTTCTGTCAGCTTGCAGGGCTGGATCTGTTGGCATGCAGGCTCCATGTGTCTGGGGTGAGGCTTTCAGGCTCCAGGCTCCAGCCATTCTGGGAACCCTGGGCATGCAGAGTGGGATTTTAGCAGACATCCAACAGCTGACACAACCCTGTTGGGCAAAAATCCATCACTGGCTTGAATGCTCTCTTTAAGATTATATGTTATAAAGGATTTTAAGCCAAGGAAAGCTATGAATGCAGCTATATGACTTCCAGGACCTGAGCAAGTTCCTTTTTGCAGTGCTGTATGGATTTAGCACCTTGTTCCTGGTTGAGCTTGCCAGCACTGTGCTGTATTCTGTGGTGCAAGCATGTCCTTGTTCTCCTTGAAGTTAAATTTCCTCCTGGTACAGAGGGTTAATAGCCCTGTTGGAAAGTGTTGCTGGGCTAAGAGGACGAACATGCACAGTGTCTGTAGACTAAAGTGCTTTGTGTCGTATGAATTACCTCCGGTGCACAGTGTGAAACCCTCACACAGAAAATGGCAAGCACAGACTATCTCAGCTCAGGAGCCTTGGCATTGCCAGCTATGCTGTAATGGGGCTCAGCGCTACGTACCTGAAAAATTTCTCCTAATGCAGTTCTGCTGGTACCTAAAATCCCAGTGATAACATCACTCCCTGAAAATAGGAATTTTGGTGGGCAGCCCCCTTTGATACAGGGCAGGCTAAGGGCTGAAATCCCTTGGGGAGTATGAGCATAGCCAAAGCTGCTGGTGGTTCTGGTAACGCCGATGCACACCAACAATGCAGGGAGCACTCCATAATCCAGACTGCTAGGGGCCAGTGTGGTTACTCAGCGGCACCAGATCTCCTGCCTCGCAGGAGGGGTTTGAAAGGGGTCTGCAGGCAGCGTGGCTGAGTCTGGCTTGGCAGTGCAGCCCCAAGTCACAGCACAGCAGGGAGGATGGAGCAGGCCTGTGCCTGCCTCCCTGATCCAGGCACTCGCTCCAGCACTGCATATTTGTAAATCAGCCTGTGGAAAAATCCCCGGAGTCCTTGCACAATCAGTATTCAGCGGGCTGAGACTAATCCAGCGCTCTCGGCAACTTGATATTTCTCCGTGAATCCCTGCCAGTAAATTCTGCTAAATCCCAAAGCTGGGGAAGAGAGGAACCTCTCAAGGCAGATGTTTGGTAGGTCTCTGGCTTGACTCAACATTATAAAGACTAGATTTACAGGCCACAATGAAGTGGTCTGACTGCAAGGCTGACAGAAAACCCAAAGGGATATTTTTCATTCACAGCCCTTTTTTTTAAGGCACTTTCTGCCCACTGTCCTCAATGCTGAGACTTAGCCTATTCAAAGTGGCTTTGTGGGAATTCATTTGCAAGGCTGGGGAATACTGAGACCCCCTCCTGTGTTTGGTTTCCCTTAGAAAGCCCAAGCTGTACCTGCCGGGACCAGATTCAGTCCTGGTGTTGTTGCTTCTGCATTGTTGTAGCAAAATGTTTAAGAAGTGTTGTCCTAGTAACATCTTTTTAATATCATTTTGCAGGTACTTTTTATGGTCCCTATTGGACTTTCAATAGGAGTCATTTCAGCCTTCCAGATCCCAGCTTTCTGCAACAACAGTAACTTACTGGCAGTATTTCTTCTGCTGTTACTGTTTGGGTAAGTGTGGAGCTTAGTTATTTAAATATCACTGCACAGAGAAAGGAACTGGATATTGCAGGTTGCTGCAGTTTGAGATCCAAGGGGGGAATACATGGGCATTTTGTCTTCCACATGCACTTTACCTCACTTCCAGGAGCAGTGAGGTAAACCACTGTTGTCATATCTGCTTTGTCCAGAGCAAACTCTACATGAGGATATGGAAATATTCAAGGTCCCAGTGACAGCCCAAGCTGTAAGCAGATGCTTACTGAACTATTGCAAAGTTCAAGATGTAGAAGCATCTCAAAATTGGAGAGCAAAATAAAGAGCAGCAGCACAATTCTGAAAGACTTAGCCAAACTGTCTCCCTGGCTTTGAATCCTCTAGGCCTAGTCTGTATGTTTTCAGGTGGGGTTCCATGTTCAATGTATGTATCCTAAACCTTTTCTCTGAAGTCTAACAGGTACAAAGGCATTTTAACTTCTTTAAGCTCCATAATATGGAAGTCTAGTTACATGCCAAACAGAAGTGTTATGCTGTCTAATGTCTTTAGGTGTTTGTTTTCAGTGGCTCTTTGAGTTACTGTGGTATTCCCTGCACTGTTGTAATTACAGATATGCATCATTTTCATGGATGTACCTGCTGGCTGGGTTTTTCAAGGAAACAGGGATGGCCTTCATTGTTTATGTCTGTGTCAACTTGTTCTTTGGCATCAATACCATCATTACTCACTCAGTTGTATTTCTGCTCTCCCAGGAAAAGGCCACGGACCAGGTAGGACTCTACTAATATTAAACCCATGCTGAAAAAGCAAGAGGCTTCTTGTTGAGTTTGGTGGCTTTGATCAGGTCCTTAGCAGCTGGACACTAGTCACAGGACTTAATGGGGTTCCTTATAGACAGGACATGAGTCACATATGGATCTTGCTTGTCTGTAAATCTGCACCCTCAGCCAAGAAGGAAATTACAGTGACAGAGGGGAGAACACAAAAAGAGAGAAGGAAAACTGGGGACCTTGTTTCTAGCCACCCTGGTGATGGAAGAGGAAGGGCAGGTGGTGGGTGGAGATGTATGATGAAAAGTTGGTGATGGGCACTCCAAACCATCTCTGAGTTCTTGCTGCACGTACTGTGGGGAGTGACAATTAGATGCCACTCCCCTGCGTATGACACGTGCTGCATTAAGCCCAGCACCAGCTGTCTGTCATCTAGATCTGTAATGCAGTCATCTTCTCCCTGCAAGGATGGAAAATAGCTCAGAGACAGTGATGATTCCCTAAAGTAAAGCCTTGTCTTAAACTGAGATATCCCTGGGTTGAACTGTACACCTTACAATTAGGTTTCTTTGTTTATGGAGAGCAATTACTTTGCAAAACAATAGCTGGCTTGGATTTTTCTAGCTAGCTGGACAGTGCTTGTTCAGCAACCTCCTGGATTTTAGGGATATACAAGTATGGTGATCTTTCATCCCTCTGTGGCCCAATGGGAGGGATTCAGTTCCTTCCATGCTAATTTACTGCCTCTCCACTTCGCTGTGTGCACTAATCCTTTCTTCTGCTAGAAATGTACCAAATCTCCATGTACCAGAGTTCTTTACTGTGAGATTGCACACTGGGATGTTTTGCCATGAATTAGCTGGAAAAGCCCTTCTGTGTCTAGTAGAGCCAAATCTTATGGTTTATGGAGATGTTTGTCCAAAGAAAACTGACAGGACAGTGCTCCAGGGGAGCAGGCTGTGCTGTACAGTTTTGGGAGGCACAGTGCAGCTCAGTGGCAGAGTTCAGCTCTGCTCATGAGCAGGTTCTGGGCAGCAGTGAGGGACCATGCTGGGAACTGGCTGCTGTTTACTATGGGTGATCACAACCTCAGAGCTGCCTGTTGACTTTTATGACCTTGTGTCTGTGAAACGAGCTGTCTCCAGAGCTCTTTGCTCTCAATTTATCTCTGCTCCGAGACACAAGCAAATCCCAATGTAATTGTTACTCTTCAGTCCCACAGTAAAACCTATGAATTTATTCCATGAATAAAAGCAGTGACTGACTGTGCTGCTCTTTGTTTTTTTTCCAGGGCTTGCGTGATCTTGCTGAAAATTTAAGGCATGTGTTCCTCCTATTCCCACAATTTTGCTTTGGCTATGGCTTGATCGAACTGTCGCAGGATCAGGCACTGCTGGGCTTCTTAAAAGCTTATGGAGTGGACTACCCTGACAAAACTTTTGAGCTGGACAAGACCACATCCAAGCTGCTTGCCATGTTTATCCAAGGCACTGTGTTTTTTGCCATTCGTCTTACAGTTCACGACAGGATGATTCAGAGAGTCTGGAACAATATACTGGAGTAAGTAACATCTGGAATCTCACAATGAAAACAGACCAAGCCAGAGCTCAGTGGTTTCATTCTGGGCTTTCATGCCATCATTGTCAATTATGAAGCCCATAAATTTCCAAGACTCTCTGCAAACATAGAGTAGATTTTTCTGGCAGCAATACCAGTACCTACCAGTAACTAAAGTATTAACTAACGGAGGTACAAGTTACAGGAGTCTTTTGGTAGTCTGTGCTGGCTGGGACTACAGCTCTCAGCTTAGGACTCTGGCTTTGGTGGGCAGATGTTCAGCTGGTTGGTGAGCGCAGTCAATCCACTGATAACCTTTGTTTGAATCTCCCTGACTCCCCTAGCTTGGGTGCACACAAGGAGGACTGAGAACATTCCTGCCACCTGCATCAGGAGTGTGTCCACAAGGCAGGACCTGCTCCAGCTCAGAGTGTTTCAGCAACTGAAAAAAAGGAAAAGATTAGGCAGAAAGAGAACACTGGGTTTTTTAATTCTCTAAATAGAGTCAATATTGAGAGAGAATAGAAAGTGTAGACATGATTATTTTGTGCGTGCCCTGGGATCTCACAGCAAGGCTGCTTAGTATCTATCCCAAGCACAAAGGCCACTGCTGTCTGCTTGCCTGAGGGTAAGGTCCCTCTCTGCCCTCCCCGTAGGTTCCTGTTTGACAGGGTACATGGCAAAGCATCACTCCTGCCACTGGCAGCTGAAGAGGATGGGGATGTCCAGGCAGAGAGGACCCGGGTGGAGTCTGGCAAAGCTGACTTTGACGTGGTGCAGCTCCAGAATCTCACCAAGATCTACCACCTTCCTCACAAACGCATCGTGGCTGTGAAAAACATCAGCC